TTTTTTCTTTTTGCTTATGTGGTGCTGAGGAATTGAACTCAGGGCCTCAGGCATGCAAGGCAAGCACTCTACCACTGAGCCACCTTCCCAGCCCCTAACATTATAATTTTTTAAAGTACTGATTTAACAGTATCTTACAAGTCTTGATATGATATGCTTGAAAAAGAGCCTGACATGAAGGAGGTGACATATTTGTCAGCTGATGGATGGGTAGGTGAACAAAAAAATGTCAGGCTGGCTGGCTGGTTAGTTGGACAGACAGACAGATGGACAAGCTATGCTCACACTGAACTCCCTATCCCTCAAGGTGACGGTGGATTCACAGGCTGTGTGGCCTCCTGTAAGCAGGTATGGGTTCAGAATTGAGGATACAGGCCACATGTATATAGCCCGGACACCCTCAGACATCCAGATCCAGTGGCTCCACAGCTCAGGACTCATGATCCTGGAGGCCAGCAAAGCCAGCAAAGGCCAGGGCCGTGGCCTATGTGGTGAGGTGGGACCCAGCTGGGGGAGGGAGCAGCTAGGCACTGGTGGTGCTTCCTGGGCCCATCTCTGCCACCAGGCATAGTTCTTTGGACCAGAAGAAGGGCTGGGATAGACCAAGATGGGACCAATAGAGCGTCCAGAGCAGAGAGATCTACCTGCTGTTTTGTTCCAAAGCTGAAACTGCTAGCAGGGAGATAGTACAGGACTCTAGCCAGCTGTCATTTCAGCCAGGTTTGTCTGTTAGTTTCCACAAAAGCCAGATCGTCTTTCCTGCCTGCAGGTGCCTGGGCCTTCACAAAGATTTCCCACACTTTGAGCTCACTTTCTTCAGGTCATTTACACAACAGCTTTGAGAGGTGGCTCTTAGTATCCCCACTAAGCCAAAGAAGAGTGGAGTCTCAGAGAAGTTAGGTGCCTGCCTAAGAACACAGGGCAGAACTGTCACAACATGAAGAACTAGTGCTCTTCAGACCATAGGTGATGTCAGAGAGCATGCCCTAAGAGACTAGATGTATTTGGCTAGGAAAAAGGGATGCAGGAGAAGTCTGAGTGTGACTATCCCTCATCACATGATACTCCATGCAGACTGCAATGATCACGATGATGGGGGATGTATATGTTTACACATATACACATATACACTCAACACACCCACACACAGCCTCCATCCTTCATCTAAACCACTGTGTTAATTCATATCCATGTCCCTGTTTTCAGAATGCCCTGTCCATATTCCACTCACACGTGTGCATTAGCATGCTTATTCAGTCACTGGGAAAAGAATAGCAAGAGAATCTATTTAGCTTCCATTCTTACCCATACACGTATCCTCTCACACATGCATATACTCTAGCAGCACAGCAGCTTTGTTCACTTTTCTTCTGCTCTGCTCATCTCTAGCAACAAGCACTGTAGCCAGCAGTAGTCTGGCAAGCCAACTCATTCCTAGGATATGTTTGTCACAATCCTCGGTGACTCAAAACCGAGACCCCAAATGTGCTCACGGGCGTGGTTATAAACTCAGAAAGTTTTGACCCTACATTATGCTCTAGGTTCATGATGTCAGAGCAGGAATCAGAGCATTGATTCCTTTGTTTGAACTAGCACTCGATATCTGGGGCATCACACTAGATAATAGAGGAAATGCTGAGATTAGTGAAAATCTAAGAGAAAATGAGCATTGGCACTCATCTTTAAAAAACTTTTGCGAAAGATAGACTTGGAAAATTGTGTTATACGGAATCAGGGAGGTCATGGATGGGTGCATGGGAGGCATCCTTAAAGGAAAAATGTCTGAGAAGGTATTTCAGGCAAGGAGAGCAGTACAAGCACAGTCACAGATGGGGAAGTGTGTTTCTGGAGCCTTGAATACAGACCCCCTATGTGGGAGACAGAGTGGAAAGTGCAGGTCACATCATACACTACAGCACACAAGCCACATCCTCACCTTCATCCCGAAATTCATTCATTGCACATGTGAATTCCCACATGATTAATGGTAACTCAGGGACAAGTTTTTTTTTCTCCTGGCCTGTAGCGCTGCCGTTTTCCTTACAATTTCAGAGGAAAGACAATGGGGAAGTGGTGCCCTCACCTTATACCATTGGCTGGCACACACAGCTGCAAAGGAGCCTGAGGAACATACGACTGATTCTGGAAAGAAGAAGAAGCATGTTATGATTGGCTAAAAATTTCTGATAAAACAAATTCTTTGGGATAACTTTGTATTTTGACATATCCATCTTAGAAGCTGAAAAAAATAGAACAAGAGACTCCTATAACCTTTTACCCAGAGGTTTACTGAGTGTTCACAGTTTACCCTATTTGCTTCTCTCTCTCTTTCTCTTTCTCTCTCATTCCTCTTTTTCTATGTTCTTTGAATATTATATATACCATAATATACATTATATACATACATTATACATAGTATATGAATTTGCATTTCTGTACCTTTTGAAAGTAAGCTCATGACATGTGTCTATCTCTAAATGTTTGGGTATATTTCCTCAAGACAGAGATAGTTCCTTACACAGCACATATCCTAGCTTTTTTCTGCCTCATTTTTCCTTCATCTATAAAGTGTGTGTGTTGGGGGCAGGGGTGGGTAACAATAAATACTATCTAAAAAGTTATTGTAGCTAGATGCTGGTGGCTCATGCCTGTAATCCTAGATACTCAAGAGAGTAAGAGCTGAGGATTGTGATTCAAAGCCAGCCTAGTCAGGAAAGTTTGTGAGATTCTTATTTTCAATTCACCATCTAAAAGCTTGAAGTGGAGCTCTGGCTCAGGGATAGTGCCCAGGCCCTGAATTCAAGCCAACAACAAAAGTGATTGTAATGAGTATTCAAAGTTAGAGCAGAAGCCCTGGGAGGGTGTTGGTTTTGTGGCTCTTGGAATAATTCTGCGTCTTGCAGGTATTTGTGATGGAGATGCGGCCAATGACCTCACCTTAAAGGACGGCTCTGTGGTGGGTGGGGCTGAGGCCGAGGACCCTGCTCCATTTTTGGACAGCTGGCAAGTGCCCAGTTCCTTAACTTCAGAGGGCCAGACCCGCTTCCGCCCAGACAGCTGTGCCACGGCTGACTGCTCTCCTTGCCTGCGCATGGTGTCCAACCACACGTTCAGTGCCTGCCACCGCTTTGTATGTGCCAGTTGAGTTCAGAGTGGGGAGACTTCCTGCCGGGGGGAGGGAGTGGGGGGGCAGCATCCACTAGTAAAGGCTCGTTGTTTGCTGGGCAGGGCTGGGAGGAGCTCGGCCCAGGGATGTGGGGCACTCGCGTAGGGTAGGGAGCACTGATGGATGCATGTGTTCAGATCCCCCCAGAGTCATTCTGTGAGCTGTGGATCCGGGACACCAAGTACGTGCAGCAGCCTTGTGTGGCACTGACTGTATACGTGGCCATGTGCCACAAGTTCCACGTGTGTATTGAGTGGCGGCGTTCCGACTATTGCCGTGAGTAAGGCGTCAGAAGTTTCTTCCATTGAGATTGTTCCCATCCCTTACTAGAGTGGGGAAGGGCCCCCGAGGGCAAAGATTATTAAGTCTTTGCTTATTCCTTCATTCACTGACATACTCATGAGTTTAAAAACATGTATTTTCATGTAATTTTTATATTCATACAAAATATATTTTGTATTAATGAACATTACTGTTTATATTAGTGGATTGATACTTTTTTTTTTTGGCAGTCATGGGACTTGAACTCTGGGCCTGGGCTCTGTCCCTTAGCTCTTCAGCTCAAGGGAGCACTCTATCACATGAGCCACAGCACCAATTCCAGTTTTCTGGTGGTTTATTGGAGATAAGAGTCTCACGGACTTTCCTTCCCAGGCTGGCTTTGAACAGAGATCCTCAGATCTCAGCCTCCTGAGTAGCTAGGATTATAGGCATGAGCCACCCGCACCTGGCAGATTAATAGTTTTGTTTTAATTTATGACTTATGAGAAATAATTGTCTATGGTGTCCTATAAATGCTTTCACAGCAAATGGTAGTTTGCTTTGCTTCATTTTTGTTGATATTTCTTTTCTTTGAATCCCCCTCCCCACTCTGTTTTCTTGAGGATTAAAATGAGATACACCTCCTTGACTTCCTTCCCTCCCATTAATAGGTAAATCAATAGGCAGGGGTGACCTCTCAAGTAGTGTATTTCTAATTATGAACACATCTAAAATGGCTCTGGACAGCTCCCAGAAAGACCACACCTATTATATGACCTTTCTTACAAAAGAGAAAAAGATATTTTAAAAAGTTGTGGAAGGTTGGGGGCTGGGAAGGTGGCTCAGTGGTAGAGCGCTTGCCTTGCATGCCTGAGGCCCTGGGTTCGATAAGCAAAAAGAAAAAAGCTGGAAGTGGTGCTGTGGCTCAAGTGGTAGAGCGCTAGCCTTGAGCTGAAGAGCTGAGGGACAGTACCCAGGTGCAGAGTTCAGGCCCCATGACCGGACTCCCCCCCCAAAAAAAGTTGTGGAAGGTGATTCATGGTATATAATACCAATTGATTGAGGCAATATCCACATTTAAAAAATGCAATAGAGCCAGGCACAAGTGGCTCACACCCATAATCCTAACTACTCAGGAGGCTGAGATCTGAGGATCGTGGTTCAAAGCAAGCACAGGCAGGAAAGTCTGTGAGACTTTTATGTACAATTAACCATAAAAATGTAGAAGTGGAGCTGTGGCTCAAGCGATAGAGTGTTAGACTTGAGCACAAAAGCTCAGGGATGGCACCCTGGGCACCCAGGCCCAGAGTTCAAGCCACAGGAAGTGGGGTAGGGGTGGGGTTGGGGGGGAATAGAATGGAAATAGAAGTGTGTGTTGTGTGTATAGGAAGATATTATCTCATGAGAGGATTTTTTTGTTTCAAAATGTCAGCAATTTTCAATCCCAGCTACCATTGTTAGTCATGTGGGGAACTTCACAAAGTATTCACGCCTGGGTCCTACAGCCAGAGGTTCAATTGGTTCTGGATGGGGTCCCAACAATGGCAAGCTCCCAGGGAATCTTTTGCCCTCAAGCTTGAAAGTTGCTGTTCTATATACTGTGTGTATTGAAATCACGATGTAAATTACACTTTTACAGTCAAGAAAGTTGGAAAATACTGACCTATAGCCAGAAGTTAGCAAATTCTTCTATCAAAAGGTCAAATCGTGAATATTTGAGGCTCTATGAACTGCGCGGTGTCTATCTCTTCCCGGGTGGTACAAAAAGAGCTACACACACCATACAAAAGAAGCACACATGATTGTTTAATAAAACTTTATTTGCGAAACAGATGGGGGCTTTAGGCTATAAAGAGAAGTCAAACATTAAGCACCCTGATTTCTGCACTGAGCCCTCTCATCAGCTTTTCCTGCTCGTTTGGCCTTGCCTGGGGAGCCCTTGCCTGGAGTCTGATGACTGCTGTGTCCTTGCAGCCTTCCTGTGCTCCAGTGACTCCACCTACCAGGCATGTGTGGCAGCCTGCGAGCCCCCTGAGACGTGCCAGGATGGGCTTCTGGGCCCACTAGATGCTGAGCAGTGCCAGGTACTGGGAGAGGCCTGTGTGTGCTCTGAGGGCACCATCCTGCACCGGCGACATTCTGCACTCTGCATCCCTGAGGACAAGTGTGGTAGGTCCCTCCCTGCCCCAGGGAGGCTCCTCAACGCTGGCTTGATCTCCTAGTCTCCTTTGCCTCCTGCTGCCCATGCTGGGGCCACTCTGTTTCCTAATAGGCCTGTTCTGGGGTGATCAATGTCTCAGGGAGGGTCTAGCCAGGGCATTCTGGGGCTGCCTTACTCTCTCAGTCCCCTGTGCCCTGACATGCCCCCATTGCAGCCTGCACCGACAGTGCAGGAGTGCCCAGGGCATTGGGGGAGACCTGGAACAGCTCCCTCAGTGGGTGCTGCCAGCACCAGTGCCAAGCCCCAGACACCATCGTCCCTGTGGATCTGGATTGCCCGGGGCCCCGGCCTGAAAGCTGCCCACGCTTTGGGGAGGTTATCTTGCTCCTGCCTACCGAGGACCCCTGCTGCCTGGGGTCTGTCTGTGGTGAGTCCACCCTTCACTAGTCAGATGGCTCTAGCCTGGAAAACTTAAAGCATCTTGTGGGATGTGAACTGGGAGGGGAAAGCCCAAGTTCGATCGACGTGGGGTGGTGCTGAACAGCAGAGGCTCTGGGATCAGGAGACCTAGACCTCATCTTCCACCTTGTAGGCTCGGCAAAATACTTAACATGGGCTGTGCCTCCGCTGGGCTGCCTGGAACATGAGTCTGTTCGGTAGTATCTAACCTTAGTGTGGCTGTCAATTGTCTGAGTCAACACTGATTTGAACAGCAGCTGACACATGGCACATCTTGAACATTTATTGCTCTTTGGTCCCAGACCTTGGGTGACCCTCAGAGGCCCCCTCTGGAGTAGACTCCAGGAGTATAGGTTTAGGAGATGCAGGGGTGTAAAGAGGTAAGTAAACAAGAGTAGGGCAGTGCTGGAGGATGGAGGGGGACATCCTAGCCTATAGGTAACAGGCCCTGCACTTCCCTGGCCAGTGTGCAACCAGACTCTGTGTGAAGGGCTTGCCCCTACCTGCCGCCCAGGGTACCGCCTCCTCACCCACTTTCAGGAGGACTCCTGCTGCCCCAGTTACAGCTGTGGTAAGAGGACAGGGAAGGGGAGAGTGGGGCTGGCTGACAGGGCTCGGCCTGTAGATCTGGGGACTGGATCCTGGTTGGAGATGGGGCAGAACCATGGCAGGAGCTAGGTGTGGCCAGACAGGTCCTCCCAATGCCTATACTCTGTCCTTTGCCTAGAATGTGACCCGGATCTGTGCGAGGCAGAACTGATTCCCAGTTGCCGTGAAGACCAGATCTTGATCTCAGGCCGCCTGGGGGACTCATGCTGTACTTCCTACTTCTGTGGTGGGTAATTGTGATCTCAGACCTCCACCGTTCTCATCCTGGGTGAGCTGGAGGACAGGCTCAGGGAAGGGGGTCTTCAGTGTAAAGGAAATGGACTCCACGTCACTCCTAGGTCACTGTGCACAAAGAAATGAAGCTTATTCAGTGTCAGATACAGGGTGAAAATTGGGAATGTCTAGGTTCTGACTCCAAAGTGAGTCAGTGTCTTCTTCAAATGCTTATTTGGGTTTAGCTCCTGCCACATCTGAGTAGTGGAAGTGCCCATCCCTACCCCCAGAAAGCTGCTCTGTACCCCAGGAGGTACAATCCCCCAGAAAGGGGCCATCTTTGACAGAAGGATTTGTCCTGCCCGCAGCCTGTGGTGATTGTCCGGATCCCATCCCAGACTGCCAGGAAGGGGAGGCGCTCACTGTGCACAGGAACACCACGGACCTCTGCTGCCCTCTGTACCAGTGTGGTGAGTCCTGGCTGGGAATACAGAGGGCCATGCGGGCAGGGGCTCTGGGTCCTTCCTAACCTCAGGGACAGCACCAGAATCTCCACAAGTAGCCCTGTGAGAGCCCAGTAGCTCAGATTCCCTCTGGACTTCAGCCCTAGATGTGTCTAAGGACACTGAGGACACCTCAGGGGGAACTGGGGGAGGGCACATACTTCTTGGTTAGTGTTGCTCCCTGGGGATTCATACTCCAAGGTGCCTATGACTAATATATTTCCTATCCCTCTGTGTCCCCAGTGTGTGAGAGCTTTCGTTGCCCCCAAGTTCAGTGTGGCATGGGCACTGCCCTGGTGGAGGTATGGAGCCCAGATCGCTGCTGTCCCTACAAGTCCTGTGGTAAGTTCTAGATCAGAGGGGCCACCCCAAGGTGGAGATCCAGGGCCCCTACTGAGGAGCAAGTTGGGGAGAGAGGCCCACCACTGTTATCTGTGCTGAGGCTCTACCTCCCAGGTCTCTACAGAAGACTTGGCTTCTCCTACATCACTCTGCGTTCTAAGCATTCTGTAGCTTCCTCTGCAGCCTAAAAGCAGAAAAAAAATCAAGTTATCTATTCCAAAACAGTTTTCCATTTTTAAAAGTGTTTCTACAACTGTCTAATGGTACATATATTAAAACTCACCTCAAACCTGGGTGTAATCTCAGATACTTTGGAGGTGAAAGGAGGATGGAAAGTTTGAAGCCAGCCTAGGTAGTTAGTGAAACCCTTTTCCCCATCTGGAAAATAAATTAGAAATGGAAGGGTTGTGGATGTAGCTCCGGAGGTAGAGGATTTGAAGCTCTGAGCTTATGATCCACCAGTACTTAAAAAGGGGGAAAAGTCACCTGACATCCTTTGGAGGGGGCAGACAAGAGGATCAATGATCAATAATCAAAACCAGTGATTTTTATATTGTCCTTTTATAGAAAGAGTTGAAATGAGTTGAGGAACTCCGTACTTTGCTTGTAGGTCTTACTAGAACACAGTGCACAAGGGCAGGATTATAGTCTGTGTTCTTTCTTGCTTTGTGCTCAGCACAGAAAAAGCTAGGCACAAATGAGAAGGCTGTTTTCCAGCTGCTCTGAGCTGCAGCTCTCCAACCTGAGAGCTAGAGCTGGTGTGTCCCTTAACTGTTTTAGTGGTGCTCAGCAGCCCATTTTGCACAGCTCAGACCTGTTCTTGGGTAAGGCTGTGGCAAAGTTGAGTAGCTGAAACACACTCGAGAAATTCAGATGGTCAGAAGTTCTGTTCTTGTTGTGTTTGTTCTCTGAGAAGCCACGTGTCTAGGGAGACAGATGAATCACAGGTGACAAAAGGAAATCTGTCAGTGGTCTGCCTGCCTGATTATTTGAACTGCATTCTCAGCAAGCAGCCTACTATACAGGATTCATCACTACCCACCTGCCCAACTAGAAGAGCTATGGCTCCCATGAGGAGTTGGAGGAAGGCTGAGATTTTGCCTCTCCACCCCTACTGCTCCGGGCTGGGCTGGAGCTGGATCTGTGTCCTGAGAGGGGGTTGTACCTCCAGTGAAAGCCCCCAGGAGATTTGTTCCTTACCATTCCTGTTAAGATGGGGCCTGGCCTTTCCTGTTTTTCAGAGTGTGACTGCGATACAATTCCTGTGCCTCGGTGCCATCTGGTATGGAGACCTTGCCCCTGCCCACTGGCTCTGCTCTGCTTCCTCTTTCCTATCCTCATTGCACCTTTCTGGAGACACAATCTTGTGCAATAATCCCTGGATCACAAGTCAGCATTCTTATTTGGGCCCTGCTGCTAGCTTTCTGGGTGCTGTTTCCCTGTTTCCCTCAGAATTGGGATGAAGAGTCAATAGAGATGATTCTGATAGCTGTGGTGACGGTGGAGTTTGTGAGGATGGTGGTGATGGTAATGGTAGAGTTGATGGAGGTGGTGGTGATGGCGATGCAGAATTGGTAGAGGTGATGGTGATGGCATAGTTGGTGATGACAATATGATGTAACGGTAGGTATGGTGAGGACGATGAAGGTGGTAATAATGATGGCACTGATCGTAATCATGGTGGTAGCTCATATATACCAAGAGTTGTCCGTGGGCCCAGAACATTCCCAGACCTTTCTTCTGTATTATCATAGGAACCAACCAGGAGGTTGATTCTGGGATTAGTTATCTCAACTATTCAAACAAGGAAGTTATGGTTAAGGTCACAAAGCTGGTAAACCAGAGCTAAGATTAGTGTCAGGAATTCTGATTCCAGAGTCCATGCCCTTCATCACCATGGTACACTACCAGAGGGGGAAGTAAGAATTCTTTAAGAAATGTAATATTCAGATCATTTTTTATATCATCTATACCTTCACCCCACCCTGGCACCCATAACCTCCCATTTTCTCCCTTATCCCCACCCTCTTCTCCATGATGGTGAAGAAAGATAAGAAGTAGGTGTAGGCCAAGCAGAGCTCTAGACCAGCAGTTGTGCACAATCCCTCAATGAGAGGAGGACATTGGGGACTCTCTTTGAGTGGGGATAGTGATGGAGTTCCTAGGATGCCAAGGCTCCCTAGGCCTGCCAGGCCCTTCTGTCCACTGTAGGAGGCGATTGATGGAGAGGAGCCCCAGTGGCAGACTGCTCTTGAGGGTGGGGTGGGGCTTTCACTCTAGGTGCTGACCACCTCTGCCTCCCCCAGTGGGAGAAGTCCCAGCTGGACGAGGAGTTCATACACAGCGTGGAGAATGTGTGTGGCTGTGCCAAGTACGAGTGTGGTGAGTGGGGAAGTCCCTGGGTGGACAAGCCTTGGGCGGGCCATCGTTGGTGGCTGAGTTCTTGAGGATTGTTCTACCCTTGTTTGCCCACCCAGTAAAAGCACCCGTGTGTCTGAGCCGCGAGCTGGGGGTGATGCAGCCTGGCCAGACGGTGGTAGAGCTTTCAGCAGATGGTGTGTGCCACACCTCTCGCTGTACAGACGTGCTGGACCCCCTCACCAGCTTCTACCAGATCAACACTACTTCTGTGCTCTGTGACGTTCACTGTGAGGCGGTACAGGCGGGACAGTGTGGGGCTTGTGGGGGTCAGGAGGGCTGTCCTGGCAGATGCTAGGTATTCTAGAAATCAGGCAGCCCTGGCTGCTTGGCCCTGCCACCCACAAGTCTGGATAGTGGGCACCACACTGGCTTTCTAACTGGCTTACAAAGATTAGGAGAAGCCAGAAGCAATAGTAAAGAGTCAGAATTAAGGCCCGGCAAAGGTGGGTATTTAACAGGCAGAATGTGCATCTATTAAACACCCACGGGATGCCTGACACATTCCCTAGGGGTTGGATTATTGTGTGTGTTGTTGTCTTTTGTTGAGCGCTTGTAGCACCCAGAATAGTGACTGACTTATAGCGAGGCCCCAAATAAGGATTCTTTGAATAAACGGTATTAGAATGACTCCCATTTCTCAGATGAGAAAAGTATAATGGAGGCAGATGTAGTCATTTATCAGGAGTCCTGCAGGAATTGAGACTCAAATTGAGGTCCACCTAGAACCAAAATTGGTACCTTGATTGTCAGAATACTGCCTCTTCCAGAAGGGTAGAGGTCCCTGGCCACAGGGAAGGCAGTCACAGGGATTCGGGTAGGGACTAGATTGTTCTGCCTGTTATCTGAGATAGAAGTAGACTGCGACTCCCCTTCCCGAGCCCCCGCAGAGGCCTTGCACTCACTCAGAAGCAAGCAGGTCATGGAGAGTGGAGGGTGGAAGTTGCACCAGGCTGAGCCTCCTTTCCTGTCCTGGCCTACAGAATCAGGAATATGAGCACCCACGGGACCTGGCAGCCTGCTGCGGCTCCTGCAGGAACGTCTCCTGCCTCTTTACTTTCCCCAACGGCACCACCTCCCTGTTCTTGGTAAGCAGATCCCAAGCCCACCCGGGAAGCTACCCTAAAAGGGGTCTTTATAAGCAGGACCCTCTTTGGCTTTCAGGCCGGGGCTTGATACAGAGGAGGGTGTTGGGCAGGTCCTAGGTTGTACCTGTCCTCAGAGCTGTCTGTATGGTCACATGCTCCCATCACCCATCTCTGCCTTCTCCAGCCCGGGACGTCCTGGATTGCAGACTGCGCCCGCCACCACTGTGGCAGCACCCCCCTGGGTGCTGTGCTTGTTCGCTCGCCCATCAGCTGCCCACCATTCAATGAGACAGAGTGCGCCAAGGTCAGTGTCTTCTCTCCTACTTTCTCACTAGTGGTGGTGGTGACAGGGCAGGAGTCCTGTGCTTAGGAGCATAGGATGATAGGATGAGCATCATCACACATTCACATGACCATGCACGGATGCATGCAGGTATACAGTCCTGGCAGCATCACAGGCAGTTGGCCACACACCTCACACACCCCACAAGGATGTTAATGTACACCTCCATACCGACATACCTCAAGGCCCTCAGAGAGGCCTACTCTTGCACATGCACAGACAGGTACTCACAGATTAGTCCTGTGGCTGACATGTGTCTTGAGCCATAACTGTCCAAATGGACATAAAGAAGAGGATTCCTGGAGGGCATGAGTTAATAACGTTACAAAGGTTAATATTGGATATTTTAAGATCTCTGACTCTTCTCTAGAAAACAGACACCCATACCTGATTATATAGGCTTATATATATATATAAACTTAGACCTGCGAGATCACACATGTACACACACATGCTCAAATATGCACTCAGAAAACCACACATGTATCCTGAAACCCACAGCCTCATCTACACATTCACAAACACTACTTTACAAAGAGCTACCCCAATCCATTGTTCTATCCATCTCACAATAAAGAAGCAGGGCAGTAGGGGATCTTTGCCCAGAGAAGGATGGCTTCTCCAGGGCTGAGACTGACCCGAGAACACTAACTTAAATGGACTTACCCTTGTACCTCTTCCTCTGACACTCCTTGCAGGGAAGCAGTAATGGAGGGATGGCTCCAAATTTTCCTCTTTCCCAGGACAGAGGCAGTAGGGGAGGATGAGGAAAGAAGAGAGGCCCTGTAGCTTCTTTACCCAAGCCCCAGCCTCACCAGGGGCTATCTGCAGACTCCATGCTAGCTGTCAGTCAGGTTGACCCCTCCTCCTCTCCCATGCCTGGAGCTTCTGCCCTGGGACACCATGGAAAAACAGAGTCAAGACTCTCAGACTCGTTTTTTTTTTTTGCCTATGGCTGGGGTACCAGCTCCTAATCAGAGGTTGCCACCTGCCTCTCCCTTGTCTCCCTCTAGGTCGGGGGCTCTGTTGTACCTTCCCTGGAAGGATGCTGCAGGACATGTGAGTGTGGTGGAAGCTCAGCGGTGAGGGGTGCTGGAGGCAGAGTATCATGTCAGGGGTGAGAGGGCCAGGCCTCTGGCACTTGTTCAGATGAGCAGATGAAGGGTAATTCCCAACATGAGGCTCATGGCACTGACATACACATAGGGATGGCTGAAGGCCACACACATGCTTTCCCTTCTGCCCTGATATCACACCTCTGCTTCTCCTTGCAGACAAGGCGGACATTGCAGTCACTCTGCCTCTGACTATCATTGACAAGGACTCCAGTGTGGATGTCCCCCACTTTAGTTCTCCTTTGTAGGCAGCAACTCTGGGCTTAGAGGTTTTTTCCTGAATGGGATTCAGGTCTCCAGAATTCCTACTGTGCATCTGTCCAAACACCCACACACCCAGACCCAGTAGCTCCCAACCACATATGCATAAATAGACAGACAATAGGTCTAATGACCTTTGCTCCTGTGACTGACTGCGCCCCCACCCCATGCTGCTCAAGGCTTACTCCCAGAGGGATGTATAATACGAGCCCCTCTTATGACCACAGCATTTACTATCAGAAAGCAGGCTTAGGACATCATTAGTTAATTAATACCTGACCCACAGCCTCATGCGCTGAATTCTTGTGTGACCTGAGACTGATGTCCCTCTCTTCAGGTTCTCTGGGGACCTTGTTTCCTGTGGTCCCCATTAGGTCCACCTCTTCTCCATGGGTTAGTGTCCACTGCCGTCCAGGTACTTCACTCAGAAGCCCACAGGACTGGAGGCAGGCAGCTGCATTGCTATTTTCCACAGTACTGTTCTGCTATGTGGCCTGAGCACCTAGGGTGAGGGAGGGGGAGGCCCTTGCTCCCTGACTCTGGCAACGACCATTTGGCCCACAGTGCATGCTGGGTAATGAGCAATATTCCCTGGGCTTGCATGGAAATGCTTTAGCAGCTCCCCCTGACCTAGTGCACACCATTGCCCAATGCCATCACTGCTTTGCTGGTGCTGGTCACCCAGCCAGTCTCTGTTCAGGGCCCAGAGTGCTATGGTCAGGACAGCCATTGGTTCTCCTGCCATAGAGGCAGGGGAAGGCTTGGGGGCCAAGAGAACGAATTCCGTCCCATTTCTGGTGGGCTCTCTGGGTTTACATAGTGTCTGGTATCTGCTGAGCCCCAACCATGTGCATGGTTGTAAACAGGGCATATGCGAGGTCTCATGGAGCTGACATTTTAGTGAGAGACAGAGCATCAAGGGAAATAGATCATGAGACAGATCCATTGAGCTTTGCGAGGCCTGAAGCACCTACAGTGGGAAAGGGGGGTTTCATTCACAGAGGAAGCACATAATTACAACTCTGCATTGAGGTGTCAAAGTGAGTATTTATTTAGGATGAGAAAAGAACTCGCAGTGAAGTACGGAAGGAGCTCTACAATAGAAGGCTCTAAAGCTTACACTTCAACAGCACAATGACAGATGTGCCTCACATAGGACAGCGATTGTGCCCCGGAGAGCGATAAGACAAGGGAAGGTCAGGGAGAGAAGATGTATGGAGGGAGGGAGTCATACCTTCAAGAAGGGGCATTGGGAAAGGCCTGGCTGGGTAAGGGGACACTGGAGCACATCGAAGGAGGCAAAGCAGGAATGAGCCATGTCCATGGTCACCTGTGAGACAGGGTCCAGGAAGGAGAAACCCTATACCTAGCACTTTCCATCCCTAAAACCGTTCTGCGAGCAGAGCATGAACAAGTTCCTAGCCCCCTTTGAGGGACAGGGAAATCTGTAGATCCTACTGTATAAAGCAGCCTAGTAGGGACTGAGGTTTCTATCCACTTTGAAAATTGCAGAATTTCACTGCTCTGTGGCCGCTCAGAGTAGGAAAATGGAAGCTCAGAGAAAGATGTCCAGGCTGCCAAAGACAGGCTCTGGGGCTTGGGTGGGAAGGTAGCCTGCCCCTCACCCCAAATCTTTCTCTTTCATAGCAGAGTCCCCCAAAGAGTTTTCCAGACATCTCCCACTGTCTCGTTTGCTAATGCTATGGACTTTGCTTTTCCCAACTCCACCTCCTTCCAGGTGTTGAGTTAAAAGCCCCACTCCATGGGACACTAATGCATGGACACTAACCTGGAAGAGAAGCTCTCCAGCATGATGCTAACTGCCCAGGCTGGCCCTCTTAGGAAGGTCTTGGGGGCCACAATGGGCCCCATCTACTCTGTTTCCCCTAGGTAAAGAAGATGGACGCTCCTGCAAGAAGGTGACCATTCGCATGACCATCCGCAAGAACGAATGCCGGAGCAACACTCCTGTACGTGGTACCCACAGGGTGGATGGGGTGGGCGAGGGTGGAGATGCAGAAGGCTTGGGGGTGGAGCAGGGATAAATAGGTACACCTCAGCCTGCCTCACTGATTTGCCTGTCTGCAGGTGAATCTAGTATCCTGTGATGGAAGATGCCCATCCGCCAGCATCTACAACCATAACATCAATACCTATGCTCGTTTCTGCAAGTGCTGCCGTGAGGTGGGGCTGCAGCGGCGCTCTGTGCAACTCTTTTGTGCCACCAATGCCACCTGGGTGCCCTATACAGTGCAGGAGCCCACTGACTGTGCCTGCCAGTGGTCCTGAGGCCTGGGTGCCAGCACCTGCTGGGCCACTCATCCCCACTACTGGCACATTCCTCTTCTAGCTGGCCCAGGAAGGGTGGTGGACACGGAATAGGCTCCACTCACCCATCCCACCTCCCCCTCTTCCCCATGGGAAGTGCCACAAGCTCAGCACTCCAGGAATTCTACTCTGTCTCTGGCTTAAGACCAGGAAGGGCTGAAGATCCAGCCCCTGTACTTCTGCGAGTCTGGGTGGTTCTTTGGTGATGGGACTCTTCCTAAGACGCTGGGACCAAAGTGGACCCCAGCCTAAACACAGGATTAGAATAGATGATTAGGTGACCTGGTTCTTGTTGTTGTTGTTGTTTTTTAACCACAGGAGAAACATAGACGCTAAAAGGAAAGAGATCTTTAATTGAAACATTTGGGCCTACTTAGAGCTACGTAGAGGGACTCCCCCAAAGTACAGAAAGTGAGCTTGAGGGCCAGAGTTCTTTCATGGAGATCTGTGAGGCCAAGCACAGAGATGGGGGAGGGAGCTCAATGACTTTCAAGGCCCCTCTTCCTCAGAAGAGAGATGTCCTGATGTTCAGTACTGTTAACCTCCAATGGTGACCATTGGAGGGAGCTTAGCTTATGTCATGGGTACTTTGAAGCTGCAAGTGTAGCTCCTGACTCTGCAATGTGCCTTTCCTCCAAGGATACAGCAGAGTTGGCCTCAGGATGGGGCTGAGCATGTGGTTTGTGCTTCAGCCAATACCAGGCCCTGTGCTTCATGAAGTTCTTTAGCAAGAGAGCTTCTGTTGGGGAAGAATGCCGCCCAGTGTGCATGCATCCCTTAGTATCTGTCAGAACTTGGTCTCCAAACCAGAATGTCCTTCCTAAAGCCTGGGCCAGACCTCCTACAGGGTCCACAGGCATGTACCTGATATTGCTCAGGCCTCAGCACTGCCCTGAATGTCTGCAGATGTGTGGCTGCCTGGTGCCACCTTGGGGAGAAAAGGCCACATGGTCCTCTGTTAATCCCACAGACTGTGTTCTGTTATTAAGTATCAATAAACCACAGGAAGACTTCCAAGCATCTCTGAGGGTCTGGGTTTACTTTGAATCTGAAGGCATGCTGGCTGGGAAGAGAAGATCCTATTTTAGAACCCTGGAGGGCATGCCCAACTTGTGCTGTCCAATTGGTGCCAAGCATTGAGTCCTACTGCTAGTTGGGAATGAACTGATGTAGGACTGGCTTCTAAAGGAATGAAGTGGGAAAGGGGGAGAGAGTATTGGGAGTTGGGGAGCTGACCACCAGGTAAGGAGCCTGAGGAGTGATCTCAGCTTTATGGAGTCATAGGCAGAGTGGTCTCATCCAAGATATGAATGGGGCAGACCCTGAGCACAGGTCATGTGGACTTTGCATTGTTGTATTAATTTCCTTGTTGTTCTTCCAAGAAACTCAGTCCATTTTTGCAGCCAGTACTGGTGATGCCCGGTTAAGGAGAATCCAACAATGGGCTATCAGTAAGCCTTCAAGTTTAGAGCAGCACTGGCACACCTGAGGAGCAACTGAGGAAGAAGAGTGCATTGGTAGGTTGTTTCATGTTGGAAAAAGGATAGGGGGCAGGGAGGCACCCCCTTTCCCCCTAATAAGAGAAGGAAATTCTTTCAGGAAGTTGATCTCAGTTTGAAGCAGGATCTCAGTTTGAAGCAGGCCTGTGCAGAGAAGTCTGCTAGACTTCATCTCTAAAATAACTAGCAGAAAGGCAAGATGAAGGTATAGTTCAAGTGATAGAGCCACTGTATCATCTTCCTCAATCTCTCTGCTTCCTCCCTGCTCTCTGGACAAGACTTAAAGCTTGAGACAATCCCTGAGCCACACATGAGACAGGTAAGGAAACAGAAGGCCAGGATCAGCCTGGACACTTGGAGTCAGTAGTGGAGCAGGTTGGCTGTCCAGCCTGCAGCTCTCTCTGACATATTTGCAAACACGAGGGGCTGTGAGCCCAAGAACCATCCCATTCTCCTTGGTGCAGGCTCAAGTTCCCGCCCTGATTTTATGGGCTTAATCCTCTTCCTGTGGAAATCAGTAAGGACATTGTGATGGAATGATTCACGTTCAAGGTCAGGGGAGAGCAAATTGGAGGCGACATGCTGATTTTACTGCCCCCACTGTGGGGGGAGCCAGCCCTGCTCACACAGTCCCCTTAACTCTTTCCTCACCAATCCTGTCACCTCCGTCAGCACCAGCCCTCTCTCCTGGGGCTTGGCCCCCATGAACTTCTCACCCACGTGTGTGGCCCTGTCTTTTGTACTTCTCCAAGTTTCAAACCACTCGAGATGATGAGTCAGGAAAGGCTGATAGCAAGTACAAAAACAAGTTCAAGTTCAAAGTCGAACGTTAGAGTTATAACTTTTATCAGCCACATTTTCTCCTAGGAAATCTTTTCCCCCTCCTAGAATTTTCCCCCTGCAATTCTTGTTTTCTGAGTTCTAGACCTGTCTTTCCCTGCTTTGCCTGGCTTCTTCTTCATGGAAAAGTAGAGGAGAAGAAGGGCTATGAGGGCTCAATCCTTCACAGGCTGGTGTGCATGCACCGTACGTTACAACTTCTCTGTGGCTCAAATATTTTATTTTCAAACACTTATTTTTTTCCTCTTATTGAGAAAAAAACTGGGCGCCAGCAGCTCTCCCCTGTCATCCTAGCTCCTCAAGATATTGAGATCTGAAGATCAGGCGGAAGTAGAGCTGAGGCTCAAGTGATAGAGCACCAGCCTTGAGCGAAAGAACTAAGGTACTATACCCAGGTCCTGAGTTTAAGCCCCAGGACGGGTACAAGAAAAAAAAGCCCAAAAGAGGTGATCTTAGGTAGCTGGAACTTTGTGTCAGCAATGACCCAAAATCCTAACACCTTCATCTGGAGGGGCCCCCATCTTCTCCACAGAGGATATGCTCCCCCTGTATCCAGCCAGTGCCCAGGTGTCCAGGGAGCATGTACAAGAAGGATGTGGCTGCTAGACTGGAAGTGACTTGCTGTCTTTCCATCCCATGGTCCTGATCTCAGGTCTGTGGCCACACTTACCTCTAAGGAAGGTTGGGAGAAGGTAGTCCAGTTGCTGCCCAGGACGAGGAGGCGATGGGGCTGGTGGACAGTGCCCTCTCAGTGAGAAAGTGGAACTAGTGAGAAAGGTGATGTTGAGCGATTTGTCTGAGAAGGACAGAGGAGAGACGCAGCAGGAAGTCAAGGAGGGTCATTCGATGCTCTAAGGAAGGATGATTTGACCATATGTCCTGGAAAGAGACAGAGAAAAGAGCTTGTTGCAGAAGAGAAATCCAGAGTCTCAGAGGGCCCCTGGCTGGCACAAAGAAAGCCCGGGATAGGTAGATCCTGCTTGGATATTTATTTATCTGGGTTGCCAACATACAATTCAGAGTATAATAATGAGTCTGAGCATGCCTCTAAGCTTGACAGTGAAGGGCCTGGACAGCAAAGAGTTAAAGGGTGCTGGGGTGGGTAGAGCTGGGGAGCAGGTGCCCCAACCCACTGTGGTGGTGCCAGTTAATCCCCTGCAGCAGGCCAGAGGCCTGCGCAGCCTCTCCCAAGTTGGAATTGCACTCTCCTCCCTTCCCCAGCCCAGCCCCTTGTCCAGAGATCCGGGCAGCCCAAGGACTGGATAGAAGTAGGCAGTAGTGGATGAAAGCAGCAAGAACTGGTTCTGCCCCAGGACCCTTGGAGGGCTCACTTTCTAAAATTAAGCTACTCTGTAGGCTAGCTGCTAAGCCCTTACATGCTTATGAAGCCCATACATCCATTTGCTCAGCGCCTTCCCAATTAGCCAGACCCGAGTTCTACCCTAGCTCCTTTCCATGCACAGTGTCCCTTCCTGCTTCTGTGTTTTTGCTTCCCCTGAGATTGCATATTGCTTCCTCTCCTAGGAAGTAGCTGCCTGCCCTTCAGACCATCTGAAAAATCCTTTATCATATCCCCCCCCCCAAAATACCCCACACACCCTGCAGCCCTTGATTCTGCTTATCTGGGACTTGCATGCTGGCCAGTGTCTGTGCTCAAGGCAGGGTAGGGGGTTGTTGGTCTGGCTCCAGCAGTTGTTCATTTATTCATCTATATCTTTATTCAGAACAGATAAGAACGTTAAGGCTCAGAGAGGGTAGGTGACTTGCATACTTTGCACAGCTGGAGAGATGAGGAAATCAGGACTTAATGCATACTTGTTACTCCTGAGCTCACATTCAGACTTTCCTCCTCAACCAAGGAAGAGATCAAGGGGTTCTCTGGGTGCTTTCCTCTGGAATGATGAAGAGGGCAGTGGACAGAGGCTGGTAGTCTTACTTTGGATGGTTTAACAGCTGTAGGACGCTGGCAAACTTCAAGCCTCAGTCACTCATGGTGAGGAGGAGTGACAGGTTCTGCATTCAGTGCTGGCATCAGGGGCAAGTGAGATCATGGGTAGGAAAGGACTGGACAACTGCAGTCTGTGCCTGTGTGTGAAGCTGCCCAGCAGAGCCAGGGGATCTCAGCCCAACATGGCCCAGGGCAAGAGGAAAGCAGGAACAAAGACCTGGAAGCAGCTCCAACTCACCCTCTATCAGGCTCAGCCCAAGCCTTTGCCTCTGCAGCAACCCAGCCAGCTGTGCCCTCCTGCCTTAGTTTCCCTAAATAGTTACTTGGCAGAGATAGAAGCTGAAGAGGGAGTGGGAGTTAAAAGAACTGTGTGATTTATCCTCTCTAAGAATCAGCTTCCTTATGGCTGGAATGGGAATGAAAGCCCGGCAAGGTGATGGTGAGAATGTTTCCAGTTAAAGCCCCTGTCTGGTACAAGGCATGTATTTCATGCATGAGTTATTGTGACCACCATGGAAAGAAACTTAAATGGCTTATTCAACCTCCACTTTTTTTTTTTAGCACCCCAGAGCAAGACTTACCCAAGGTCTCATTAAAGCTCAGCAATAGCAGAGGTAGCACCAGAATCCAGACCTGGTGCTCTTCCCTTGTCTCTGCACCACCCCAGGGTAGGTCTGCCTGCTCTGATCCCACTGCCTCTACAATCTGACTCACCTCTAAACTGTCCAGGAGCCAAGTCTCCTAAGACAGGAAGCTCCTAGGTAACTCAACCTTTTGTTCCTGCCCCAAAGTAACTATCACAAGGCTGGCTTCTTTGC